TACTCCTTGTTAGTTAAAAAAGTGATGTTTACAAGTCACTAAGCAGATAATTTCGAGCTTTGATGAGCGGATTGCCAGTTAGCAGTACAGTTGAAAATGCATTGGTTTTTTCAGTCAGCAAGCTGTTTAATGGTTTCAGAAATTAAAGGCTAATTGCACATGAGTGAATATGTGCTTTTCTAAGCCCACTGTTACCATTATTAGGGTATTTACCAGTTTGGAAAATTCTCTCTTTACATAAATCTGCTAATTCTTCATTGCTGCCCTGTCCTGGAAAGCAGCCACGCTGAGAGTTTTGGCCACACCAGACGGACAAGCTGGGGTGGGTTTTTTTGGTGCAACTAATTGTTGCCTGTCATTGTATTTCTGCGTGATGATTTTGTTTGCAGGGTTGTACAAGTTTGTTCATGTAACGTTCACATTGTAAATGATCCCTTGTGAAAGAAAATTGCATGTTGATATTCTCATTATGATATCAAGGAGATAAGGAACTTGATTGTCTTCAGAGAATAAGAAAGAAATACAAGGGTAGATTTGGTAGCAGAAAAAGTTTAGCTTTTGTACGTTGCAGCATGATTCTGCAATATATAAAATTGCTGATGTGTAAAAGAGCTTGGGAATGCTTCTAAAACAGATTTTTAATGCCAACAATTTTAATGGAAGCCTTTCCTGGGGAACGTGGCTGGTCAGAAAATCCAAAGCCATTGCACCTTAATAGAAAGACTGATTCATTATTTCCTGGCATTTGCTTTCTTTCTAATTAATGTCTTACACAGAAGGGGTAATCATTCAGCCATCTTTCTAGCTTAAAAAAGAGTCAAAGATTAAAAAACAATTACCCAATGTAATTAATTCAAGTGGGGATTTTGGGGGCTATGTTCAGAGGGAGGGGTTGTTCCCCTCTTCTGTTCCAGTCAGTGTTTGTCATTCTTTGGCAGGAACGACTAATTTATTGTCTGACTCTCCAATCTGGATTCATACGGGGTGGCTTTCATTCCCTCCCCCGCCGCCAAAACTCTTCTGATGTGCTGTGTATTTGTTTGGGAGGGGAAGGAGGGGGGGGGGAAGGGAGAAGGTTATATGTTTCTGACCTGCTTTACTGCTTTTCAACTGAAAGTAAATTAATGCACACACTAGATTCCCCTCTGCTGTGCTGATTGGATCCTTGTGCCGATTAAATATTTCACACTGATAGAGGGATGCTGAAAGCACTCAGCTGGTAATGTGGTATGTACGTCAGTGGTACAATAACTGACTTTCAGGTTAAAGTCAAACAAAACCCCCAGTTTGCTGCAGTTTTGATTAGAATGAGTTTCACTTTGAATTTAAATCCTTGAGCCTGCTGCAGCGATGGCTAATTAACTGAGATCTGATAGAGAGAAAGGAATACATTCTTACTTCTAATGACAGGCAGGCAGGAAGTTGTCAGGAGGAAAAAAAAAAAAAAAAGAAAAAGAAGAAACCAACAGACAAAAGAAGCCTTAAAAAAAATAACAATGCTGAGATTGTACTTCAGCACACGTAAACCTCCCTGCCTGTGTTTCACACTCAGGCTCCTTTGGCTGAAAGTCCGCCCCTGGAAAGGCGGTTTCGATCGAGTCTCAGATTTTCTTCAGATTTTTTTTTTAATCCTTCTGACAAAAACTAACACCCGAGTTCCACCCAGTCGGGCAGTCACTACCTCCTCGCTTATTAATGGCGCTTTGGGGGGGCTTCCCTTAGGAGCGGGGGGGGGGGAGCGGCAGGGTTTTGCTGCACGGAGCAGCCGAGGGGGTGTCCCCTCGGCGTGGAGGAGGAGGAGGGAGGAGGAGGAGGGAGGAGAGGGAGGAGGAGGAGGAGGAGGAGGAGGAGGAGGAGGAGGAGGAGGAGGAGGAGGAGGAGGAGGAGGGGGGAGGAGGGAGGAGGAGGAAGGCTTCCTGCCCCTGGGTACCGCACATCATCCCGCGCCGCGGTGACCCCTCCCTGGGGGTCATTAAAAATACTTCTGTCGAGCAATTTCTCCTCCCTCCCCTCCTCTCTCCCCATCCCTTCCCCCCGCCCCAGCTCGGGCGTCGCAGGGAGAGCGCTTGCATCAAACTGACAGGTCATTTACCGAGAGATTGGCAGGAGGAACTGCTCCAGCCTTCCTTAAAAACGCTCCTCCTCCTCCTCGGTTGCTCGTCTTGAACACCGTTACAGCGAAATACAGCGTTTCAGGAACAGTGCGTAAAACTTTTCCATGTGAGGGTCTTCATTCCTGGTTGTATGAACACATGTTCTAACATCTTCTCTCTGGGCACAGGCAACTTCATGCCCAAGGGTCGTATGCAAAGGGAAGCGTTTTAATGGGAATCCAGGGATAAAATACAGACGATGGAGCCTTTCACCTCCGTAAACGTCCACCACGCTTCGGTGTGTGCCCGTGTATGTGTGTGTATGTATGCTCAGCCAAAGCCCTGCTCATTTCTGTTCCGGTGTGTAAAGTTATGCAGGTGGTTGGTTTGTGACTTAAGGCACAGATGAGGCAGGATCAGCAGTGTATACCAGCAGCAACTTGGAAATATGTGAGAAATACGAGGAAATTTCATGGAGTGGTACCAAAATCCTAAAACACCACACTAAAGTGCCATAGTTAGTGGCCTGTTTGCAATGCTTTTGTGTGTTGTCACTCTTTGAATATTAAATATTCTGTTGTTCCAGAGAATTTTATTGTGACAATCGACTAGATGAACAGAGGTCATGGCCCTCATTGCTGAAGAAGTCTGTTCAGCTGTTTTGCATGCAGGGCCTTAGATTAGTGCCGAACGTTAAACTATTAATTAACAAGACATCATTTTGGCTTGAAAGTGGTTTGCCAGTCTTTTGCAAACTAAATAACTCTCGGGGTTATGCCAAATGTTTTCTTTTAGCCATGGGGCCACTAAGGAAAAGAACTGATACTGCTCTGAAAACAACTGCAGTTTTTCACGGCGAAACTGCTTTGTCAGGAGAGCATCGTTCTAGAAAGATTAATGGACTGAAGTCTCAATCTACAGCATGTAGGTGTTAAAATATAAATGTGATGGACAGTGAATTTTAGGTCCTTTTAAAACAGGTCTCATATTTTACTAGGAAAATGTGAAGGTTTTTTGAGAGGCATGCATCTGTTTTAATTCACTGCCGCGGCAAAGAGCAGCCAGTAGCTGAGTACTCCTGACCATATTCCTATTTGAGATGTGTGTGCGAAATAAAGTTGACATCAGATTGGTATGGATTTGAAGACGTGATGTAAGCTGCAGCAGAGTAAAAGTGAAGGAGGCGAAACCTTACACTAGAAGTGATGCTGTCCGTGTGGAGTCTGGCTGGAGCCTGCGTGCACGTGTGTGCGTGTCCGTGTACCGATTGCTCAGTGTGCGTATCGCAACAGCGCAGCCGCCTTCAAATCCTGCCTGCCTTTGCTCTTCCCATTTCTTTATTCACTAAACAGAACGATTCACAGTGCGGGATGGGAGGAGTAGCGTTTGAGTAAGCGCTAGTAGGGAGACTGGAACTGTTGCCCAGTTGCCTTCTCACCTGCAAACCTTCACAGCACAGACCTGGATAGGAAGGAGGGGGCGGGGAGAGAGCTCACATGTACAAATAAATAGAAAGGGCCAGAGTTATTTTGATACATATGGAAAAAATATTAGCTCTGCTTTGAATAGTTGAGACCGTGCCACGTACAAGATGGGAAATCATAAACAAGCGGCAGCTTTCCAGCACATTGTAGTGTGTTTGCATGTGACTGGCATACATATTTCAAACTCTGGTTTGCCTGTGGCATCCTGCAGTGAAAATGAAAGTTGTGTTGCTATTGAAAAGGCGCTGCTTCAAAATTGGTGTATTGTGAGGACTGTTATGCTGTGGATGAGAAGCAGCGACCTGCTTTCCAGCATTTAAAGCCAGTATTTTTTTCCTTTTTTTTTTTTTTTTTTCCTCTTTTGGCTCTTCCATTATATCAGCACATGTTTTCAGCTGCAGTGTCCAAAGCTTGGTTAGTTACTTATTATTCATCATTCCAAAAGTGTCAGAGAATACGTTATGCTGACTGATTCTCAAAATGCAGATTTTCTTTTTCTTTAAAACCCAAGACTATTCTTTTAATTAATCTGGCAGAAATATAATACAGCAGATGTAGGTTTTGTTGAGGATTTTTTAAATCTCTCATATCATAATCTTTGTTTCTGCCAACACTCCTTTTATCAGTGTCTTCATGGGGGTATAAAGTAAAAATGGTTGTTACAAAGAAAAACCGCACAATAGCTCATCTCCTAATTAAACTAATCTGATTAAGGGGAGTATTTTTAAAGTTTTGGTAGGTATATTATCAGAAAATTAATAAGTGAAGCACGGAAGAGATACTATTGCTGCTTTTCCCAACACAGAGAATTTTTCTGTAACTCTCTTTTGGAAGCTAATCTTGAGGACTTGATCTTTTGAATATGCTTTCATATTTAGCCTCTAAAATTTGCAGTTATTTAAATAAATTTAGCATAGCACTGTTCCCTGGGGAGGTGACTGACATGGCCCAATTGGTGCTTGCAAGTGTATCACAGGGACATAGTTTTTTCCCATATTTACTTAGAAAAGCCTCAAAACCTAAATTAAAGTTTTCCTTTAGGAGATGAATGTTCAATTTTACAAACATTTAGTATTTATCTCAACTTAGACCGAAACAATCAGTAACCCTTATTTCCTCAGCTTTTTTTGTTACATACACTTGAATAGACAGGTTTGTGAGTTTATTAGGAAAATACTAACACACATCACATGCAGAGACACACAAAATGAACTCACTGTTAATTCATACAGGGAGAATGGTGAAAACTGGATGGATGGTAGTTTGAGTAGTGAACCTTTTTGTTTGTTTACAGTATTTCTGCTTTTGTACTTCTTGGTACAATTTTCTCATTTGGATCAAGACAAAAAGCAATTACTTACTATTGAATTTTGTCAGGAAAGTCATAATCTACTCCTACTTGTTTTTTTCCACTGAGCTACCAAGGGTTGTAGGACTGTATACTTTTTGGGATCACGGAGTTTTGTTTACTTAGGTATTTTCCATTGCTGAACTGTGTGAGAGAAAAGTAAAGCTGTACTAATACCACTAGAACATTGCACACTAGTAATTTTATTTAAGTGAAAATATGAAATCAGTACAGTAACACCAAGTATTTCTGTGAGAAGTTTTTCATTCAGTAATCCAAATGTTCACACATCTGAGGACGAACATTAAAAGACACTTGATCAATACTGTGATCTGTCAGAGATAGTAAATGCTCTGAGTTTCACAAAAAAAGAAACCCTGGCACTACTGACATCAGCAGCAAGCCTCTGGTTGTCTGCAGCAGAGCTAGGATTTCACTCCTGGACCAACTCCAGTTACGTGATGGATTTATAGCACTGTAACCAAGTACAGCATTTTCTGACAGTCTGTGAGCTCTTGGCGTTTTTCATGTGACATAAATCAAAACAAAAATACAACCACAAAGCTGAACTCAATCTGAAAGCTTTGTATTACTGTACAGGTTAATAAGGCACCGTGCAAGGAGGGTTTCAGTAGAGTAGGAGAGGTGGTGTTCAGCTCTCCTACATGCAGTTGTTTCACACCTGTAGCACTGTACCACTGGGGCATTGAATCAGTACAAGGGACACCAGTGGAAAACTGCACTACAAAAACCACACAGAAATAGTAGTTTTATAGCATTTTGTCATAAGCAACTTTCTCCACCTACATAAAATGCACCTGAGCTTCTTGGCTTTCACTTGAATACTTTTAAACTAACAGACAGGTGTATTTCTGTACTGAAAAGGGTTAAGTTCTTTCCTCTTCAAAACATTGATGACATGCAACAGCATAGTCTAAGGAAACTACTGCCTATGATTCCTCAGGATGACTATTAGGATAAAGGAGAATGAAAAGTAAAGGCAAGAACGAACACAGCTTAAACCAATTTATGTGAATTCATGATTACTAGCATAATGCTGACATTAAAAAAGTACTTTTTTTGTATTAAAATATGAAGCAGGTATCTCTGATAAAAGTGCCTGCTTGCTATTTCATATAAACATCAAAACTATAGTTTCTGGAGCATACATATTTGACAATTAAGGCTTTGCAGCCTTCAAGTGTATAATGGGTTTAAAGGTAAGGAGAAAGGTATTTTCTTAGTCAGTTAATTTTGGACTCCAAGGCTTCTATTTTATGCCCAGATTTTCAGACTTGATTCTGGGAAGAACTAAGCACGTCTGTGACTTTGTATACACATGCATATATATACACTGCATTTTAAACAAGCAAAGTTGACAACAAAATTCTTAATGACTTTAGTAGTAGAGCAGCAGACCTAGACAGGTGTGAAGTTTCCTGAAGGGCGACACATTAGATGTAATCGCAGGGAAGCCAACAGGACCGGTCAGTGGATAAAGTTAAACACGGGCAGAAGACTTTGCAGGACTTTGAAGTATCTTTCTTTGCTCTTAACTCTTGTAAAAATCAGATGTATAATACTTAAGAGTATCAAAAGAGGCTTGAGCCAGCATATTTTTTTTTTTCCCACATATACCTAATCTGCCTAAACGGCATTAATAAGAAGAGCTTCTGAGATTATTTAAAGTGCAACAACTTTATACAAGTTTTTTGGTTTTCAAAAGTGAGCATTTTACACGGACACTAGGATTTACCGTACGGGAACTTCACACTGATAGAAATCTCAAATACAAGTTTTGTAAGAGATACTATAGCAAGATCATAGCAGTGTATTCCTATTAAAGATGACGGAATAGTCACGCAGTAGCAATTTAAAAGTACATCTGTTAACGGAGAACTGAGAGTTAAAATGGGTGCCATGGAGAAAAGGTGGCTGGGGGGGGGGGGGAAGCACCATCAAACCACCGGAAAAATAGCTTGTGAGGAGAGAAAAAAAAAAAGAAAAAAGAGGGGAAAACAAAAAAAAAAAACGACTCCAAAGTAAGTCAGGGTGGAAGAAGTAAGCGCTGGGGTGAGGCGAGCATGTGTAAGGGGGTTTCAGACTAACGGAAGAGAAAGTTGAAAATAACATTCTTTACGTCTCAAAGCCTCTTATTATTAAAGCTGCGGTATTACCGAGCCTATACCAGGATCTTTAGTTCCGGGCACAGACAGACAGCAAAGGGAAAAAAAAAAAAAAAAAAGACTTTGCAAACCCCGAGTGAAACCGCGAGTTCCCGAGCGAGTAGAGGGAAGCCCAGACTTTCCCCTGCCCTCCCGCCTGTCCTCCCGAGAAGAAAACCGTAAAATAAAAAAAAAAAAAAAAAAACAAACCAAACAAAAACCCAAACAAACGAAAAACCAAACCGAAATATCGCCAAGTCCGTGTTGGCAGGCCCGGGCCGGCCCGGCCGGGAGCTCCAGCGGCGGGAGCTCGGCCGGCCGGGGGCGGAGCGGCGGCGGGGGCCGGGGGGCCGGGGGGCCGGGGCCCGGCCGGAGCCCGGCGGGTGACGGTGCCGCTTCTCTCTCCCCTTCTCTCCCCCGGCAGAAGCTGGCGGTGCGGAGCTGCCCCGCGGCCGTGCTGGTGGGCAGCGGCGCCAGCGGCGGCGCCAAGCCCGGCGGCGTCCCGGCGCTCCTCAAGGCACCCGGCGGCGGCGGCGGGGGGGGCGGCCCCAGCGGCGGCCCCGGGCAGAGCCTGGCCATCTCCGTCCTGCCGGCCAAGGCTCCCATCGCGATGGTGACGGCGCACCTCAACGGCGGGCTGGGCTGCAGCGCGGCCGCGGGCGTGGAGCCCCCCCAGAGCGCCCCCATCAACCTGCAGACCACGGCCAAGCTGGTGGGCGCCCGGCGGCCGCCCGAGCTCGGCTCCAACGCCCAGGTAACGCGGGGGGGGGGGCGGGGGGGCGGCGCGCTGCGGGCTCCGCCGCCGCGGGGGGCGGGCGGGGCGGGGCGGCTGCTGGCGGTGGGGGGGCTCCGGGTGGTGTCGGGGATAAGGGAGGTGCTGGGGGGCAGAGGGGGGAGGAGGGGCTGGCCCGCCTGCCAGGTGCCCTCGGGGTGCGGGCGCTCGCCCCGCTGCCCTGGGAGGGGGGTGGGCTTGTCCCTCTGGTGCTGCGGGGGATCTGCCGCCCCGCAGCGTGGGGACCTGCTCCCGCGGGGGTACGGGGGCTCCGCGGCCCCGCTCGGGGCGGAGCGGTTGCGAGAGCCGGCAGGGGAGCGGGGAGTTGGGCTTACGCGGGGGGGGTTGCAGGTGTCCGGAGGGTTTGGGGGACAGGCAGGTGCCCTGGCCTCTGGCGGCACCGACAGGGCACGGGCCCTGCTCGAGGAGAGCGGTTCTGAGCCGAGGGGAGTTGGCTACTCGCCCCCAGTTCCCACCTTCTCTGGCAGCTTTTCTGATTAAGAAGCAGCAAGGTATCTGTAAAGAAGTGTTGGGAGTCACGCTGCGAGCTTGGATACCGCTTGCACGGCTGGAGGGTCTCCTGGCTGGGCTGTCATTCCAAGTCTCTGGTGGTGCCGGTACCTTCCCTCCCTTAGAGAGAGCAAAAGCACGAACTGTGTGGGAACTGGCAGGTTGTTGCTACCAGGTCCAGGTGTATGTACGTATAAGTTTTATACTTATGTTCACAGTAATCTAAATATGAAATAAATGGATTGAGTTAGTGAAAGGAGGGCGAAAGCTGCTGTTCGCTGGACACATGGTTTTGTGCAGACTGTTAACAGCCACAAAAGAGAAAATGTTTATCATGTTGTGGGTCAAGAGAAGGGAATGCTGCTAATGAAAGTGTGAAGAAAGTGACAAAGCCTTCCTGCAACTTTGGAGAAGAGGATGTAAACTATTATTGCTAACGTTGGAAATGTGGATTTCTTTTCTACTTTCTGCACATAGAGGCTGTGGTAGTCTGTTTTATTGTACTTTAATTCCCCATCACAAGCTCAGGATATTAATAATCAGGAAAGAAGAACACAGTATGGATAAGGGCAACAGGGAAACTGTACCTGAAGGCGTTTGTAAATCAAGGCTATGTTGGAATGCATGAGGCTTTTGAATACCCAGAAAGCCGCTTTCTAAACACTGAACAAGGAATGACCATCACCTGCTGCATCCGCAAACAAATGGAAAGCACATCCAACCACTTTGGGAATCAAATTGTCCTGTCACTTTTTCTGGAGAAGTGGCATTGTCTTTAGCTGTTACACTAAAGTAGCTGTGTGGGGAATTTGATTTTGAATCTCCGTTCTGTATTCATGCTGGGCAATTTCCTTTATCGAAGGTGTTGTTTATGCTTTATTGAAAAGATACTTGAAGCTATCCTAGTGGATATTTCTTAGAATCCTGAAAAATAACTATATACATGATAATCATAGATAAAAGTTTCAATGCTTCAATGGTCTATTATTTTGTGAAAGACTATCTTTTACTGTCACTGTCAGGAGCCACAGGAAGAATCAAAACAGTGAAGGGAGAAACTTGAAATGACATTTAATGTATTTGGCCTGAATAGTGAAACAACAGTCCCAGGTGCTGGAAAACAGTGCAGATTAGAACAGTTGACTTCAAACTTGTAACTTCTGCAAGTGTTGTTAGAGGAAAAGACTTTCTAACCCGGTAAACTGGTGTGCTGCTGAATTATCCATAGTGTCTCCCATTTACATTTTCTAAAGGGCAAACTGGTTCCACTTCGATCTTTCACATCCCCAGATGTGCGGTGGTCAGCGGTGTATTGCAACCTGCTGGAGCAAAGCACTGATGTTCATGCACATGTTTCTATTCTCTTCTCTCAAACCTGAAACAGTATTTGCCTCTGCATTACAACTTTTCTTGCAAAGAGCAGCTTCATTTTGAGCAGAAGCTTGCTGTTACTAGAATAGCATAGGGATGTCTAGCATTTGGGCTTGCCTTGGTTTTGCTACAGGAAAAGGTCCAGTGTTTTTCTTTAAAAATGTCTTCACATTGCAAGTTTTCAACCCCTGTAGTTTTGTGATTTAGTATCTCTGATTACGTTAGTAATTTGCTGAAGAAGCAGCTAAGCAATGGCAAGTTTCTGAAGCCGAGAACTATAGTGGTTTCATCTTTTGAGAATAGTCAGCAGGCATGGATAAAAACAATTAGAAATATTGAATTGTAAATGTAAAAAAATGCAAGTTGACCTTTGGTCCTAAGATGTCAGGAAGCTTAGTGCTGGACTGCATGTTAATTATCACTCCTCTACCCAAATTAAATTTGTTTTGCAAGGTTTCTTTTCCTCATCCAATGAAAAAAAAAAAAAAATCTATTCTTGCTTCATGCTCAGTATTCTTGATTGTTCCCGATGTGGTGATGACAAATCAATAGCAGTAACACCTTAGCTGCTAGCACTGTAGTGTTGGAGGGAAATTTCATTGTTGACATTTATTAATAAGCATTTACTGTCTCTTTTTTTGTGGTTTGTTACTGCTCAGAAAAGTATTTTTTTCTGCTGAAATGTATGAATTTTGTGAGATAGAGGATAATGACAGCCTTCTGCAAACTGGGTTAAGGTGGCAAGCTGATAGTAGTAAATGAGATTACTGGTGTAGTGTAGCCTATTCCTCTGCATCTGCAAAGTGAGGGAAAGGGCAAGGGCATGAAATGTAATGTTATGAGTTTCTGAACAGTGGTTTCTGCTTGAAAGCATTTAAGGGGATCAGGATGTGTATACGGTCATCTCAAGTGGTATCTAGCAGGAAGAATGAAATGCTAAATGAAACTCAGCAGAAAAAATAGGGCATCAAACACTATAAATACAGAACTTTCAAATATAGATAGGATTAAATGTAAGTTTGTTACAGATTTTTTATTTGGGCAGCTGCATGTCAGCACTTTCATTTTAGGCTGTTGTTTACCCAGCAGATTTTTAAAGTGATTTTGAAACGTTGTTGACTATAATGGAAGCCATATCTACATTGAAAAAAGTATCTAAAGAAATACATTCATAACAGATACTGGAGAATTGTTTAGATATTTATCACATCTTTTATTAGAAGCAAGAAACATTGCGAATTTAACAGAAATTGAAACCTGTAAGCATTGGAAATTGTGAGCTCCAGAAACTAGAACTAGGTCTGCACTATTCCTTAGCAGCTTTTTGGTGTCAGTCCAGTATATGAAGACATGACTGATGGAGCTACATTGATGAAAGTGTACGTGCAGGGATGTCATGGGTATGGCTCTTTCTCCTGCTTAGAGAAATGAAGCTTAGAGCTTCATTTGGATGTTCTGGAGCAAGTTATGTTGGCAAAAGCAGAATTTTGCTGGCATAAGCTGAATTTTGCTGGCATATGCTGTATACATGCTAGGAGTGCTTTGCCTTCAGAGAATAGCTATTGCTATTCTGTTTAGAGAATGCCCTAGAGCTACTGGATAGTTGTAGGATATCATCATGCCTGCACCTATGAAGTACTCTTGGTATAAATAGATTTTAATATTAACCTCTCAAATTATATTTTTATTGTAACTGTATTTGTATCGTATTTGCTATTTCCTATCCTAGCCGTCGTTTCCTGACAGAAAGCAGGATCTGAGGTTGCTTTGCTGAAGGACAAAGTCCCATCTGCTGTGCTGGAACAATGTACCGAGTAAAGAAAATGCCCCTCTGCTACCTCCTCATTCTCTTCTAAATAGCAAAACTGAGGACCAGCAGGCATCCCAGAACCTAGTTTTGGGAAAGCAAAAAGCCTTTTGGCCGTTTGAAAGACAGTTGGATCAGCCAGCTGTTGGGAGGACAAGCAAAGAGGGGGGAATACAGCTGTCAGACCACTCAGCTGCTTTTCAGGAGCTGTAGTGAAAGAAAAAAGCACTGGAGGGGCATATCTGCTCTGGGCCATGAAGCACCGTGATACAGACAGAAAGTTGCTGCACAGAAACGTGGCACGGGCCGGCTCTGCGGGGGTAGGCGCTGTCCTGGGAGCAGTATGCTGGGTCCTGCTCAAGGTAACCTTTGCCTCTCAGGCGGCTCCACTTCTCTAGTTCCAGAGAGATGTTGTTTGCAGATAGCTTAGCTATCTCTGCACAGCCCAGCATTGCTGGCTTTAAACTTACCCATGGCGCTGGAGTGCGAGTGCTGCCAGAACTGGCTCTCACTTTGTCAACGTAAACAATATTCTCTGTAGATACCTGTCACGTGCTGTATGCGCACTGGTCACCTACTGTAAGTCCCAGAGGCTTCTGAAGTGTGAAGCAGATATTAGGTGCAGGAACATTTGGGTACTGCTGTAATAAATGAGCCGTCGCTTGTCTGTGATCCTGGTGTGATGCTCTGTCCCCTATTACTCTGCGCGGCTCGCAGAAAACACCTTAGCAAGGCACTGACTCCCTGTCCATCAGGACTCCGCAAGCAACATCATAAAATCTGCCTCCTGTACCTCTCCGTGCTTTCCTTCCCACACATGTATGCCCTGGGTCAGCTGGAGAAAAGTTTGGCAAGCTTCCCCATGCACATGTGCTGTTGTGTCTTGGGCCTTGTCTATACAGGGAGGTTATTTCAAAGTAAAATACTGTATGAGGATTTATAGTGCTATAAATTCTTGGCAAGATAGTAAACTGTTCTCCACAAATGCTTCATTAACTCCACGGCTGGAAGAACTACTTGTATCCATGTTTAGATTGAGCAGGCTACATGGGTATCCATTTTTTTTCAGAAAAAAGTAGCTTTTATATGTGTAGGAGGATGCTCATATATACTTCTTAGCTATCTGTATATTCAATTTACTAGGAAAAACCGCATTCCAGAAGTTTAAGACCATACCTCTGCCTATGATGACCATTTTTCAGAATAATTTATTTGTAGTATGATTTATTGCCTTTCTCTTCACCATCCCACTTAATGTGCTCCACTCTGCTCTCTGTAAAAGTGCTTCCTCCAT